CATCGCTGTTCATCAGATGAACTCGTCCTTATCCCTCTCTCTCTTGTCCATCCTCTCTCAGCATGTGATTCTGTTCGAATCATTGCATTGATGGTGATTGTCTCTCTCGGTTTAGATACGTTGCGTTGCCATGGGCACTGTTACTAATGCGCCCTGAAATATCCCCGCCTATTCGACGTTTTTACATTTATTACTTGCTTGACCTTCCCTGGTGCAGTGCTCTGCAATAACAGGAAGATTTATAACTAACTTATGCATCCAAAAGTTTCAGCAAATACGGTTTAGCAGCTTGTTAATGCTACCACTCCTAATGGTAATTGTACCTTTCTGCATTAAAGGCAAAAATAGTCTGCATTGTCGGTTTTGGTAATACTTCCATAGGCATTTCTGTTTTGTATGAGACGTGTAAAATATCCTCGAGTCATTTTCGACCCAATATGTGAGTCTGCACACTATGCGCGACAGCCGACGGCCCTCTCCCACTACTCTGTAAAACCTCTTCAAGTAACAAACTGTATGTGTTCTACTAACCATCACATACTCACAAATCAAACGACACGGGGAAAATGAGAAATCATTGGAAATGAGCAGGTTGTAATCATCCAAATCGTCAATTAGCGCGCATGGTCTGCGACACGCTGAGTTACAATGATTCGACGATATTCATTCTTTTCTCTACCGTAAAGGTTCATTTGATTATGGTAGAAATCTCCACTTTTCTAAAAGTCATATAACCTTGTTTTGATGTCTTACACTGAGCTACTTCTTCTTTTACTGAAAGTAATGCATTCATTTTTAGCCGAAAAGATCAGCTAGAACTTTTCTCATTTTTTGCAGCTGCAGAAATTTACATTTTCTAATCAAGGAGCTAAAAATGTAGCAAAAATATTATCTGTTTCTGTTTATTTCCGGTTTCCTAAGTTGTGGAAAGACATTAGTTCCTTTGTGAGAGAAGTAAATATTGCGCTAATCTTTTTTCCTTTTAAAAAATTCGCCTTCTACTTTTGGCTTGAGAGATTGGGAATCAAACATTGTATGCAAAAATTGGATAATTGTTAGGCAAATATTTCTATTTTGAAGTAAAAAAGATCTTTTCTCCGAATAATTTCATACATTAGGCTAGAGATTCTCGTTTTACGCTAGTACGTACAGAGTTACATCAATTAAGCGTATGTCCACAGACTGGGTATCCCTACTGGTGGTAGAACTGAACTTGTATGGTTGTCTTTTCTGGGACGATGATGAAGGAATGTAATGGATTAGACTTCCTATTTAAAAGCAGATCTAACTCGTAGGTCGCGTCCCAGTTCTGTTAAAATCGTGTTGCACGCAAGAGCGGATTTTGGTGCCCTAATTTTATTTTGTTATTCATGCAACGTTTGATTTTGTGGTTTCGTATGGCAATGGGAACATTCTATTTATGCCACGTCTAATGCTACACAGTCATGCGCGGTGACTCACTGTGAATACATACAATACAATCCGGAAACAGAATTAGCGGAATAGTGTATAGCAAAATATTTTATTCATTGTCGTTGAAATTTATTCCTCGTTCTCTTGCTACTTTCGAAATGTATGCTCGAAACTCTGATATGGGAATGTGTGCAACGCACAGCAAATGCGCCTTGGGATTGATTCTCTGGTGCTATCTATAGCGGCTATCTAAACAACATTATTTTTCAGGTATTTTTGCTTGAAGGTATTACCAGAAAGTATAATATAAGCTATAATTTTTTTCACTGCAGACGGTCATGGGCTATGTGTATACAGTTTTTGTGCAAATGCAGACCTATAGCTACTGCATGACGAATGTGCAGTAAAGGCTACTGCAGGACGAAGGCGCAGAAACAGTATTGATTGAGCGGACGCAAACTCTGCGCGCGCGTATCTTCACCGTTATAAACACCGTGCTTCATGCGCTTGGGGCTGATAAAGCTGTGTTTGCGGCAAAATTATTGCGCCTTCGTCATAGTAGGCTATACCTTTGAGCGCTAACGCGGCTTCGTTAGCCGCAGAGCGCATGAGGCGCAGGGTTTACAACGGTGAAGGTACGCGCGCGTCTTCGCGCCCGCTCAACTAATACTGCTTCTGCGCCTTCGTCCTGCAGTAGCCTTTATATATTTCATTAGCTTCGCAATATATTAATACTGAATCCTCGGTGGGCTTTATATAGAAGTTCTATGACTATAAACTTGTGTTAAAGCGTATCTTTGTTGTGCAGAAAAACATTGAGTTTCGGTCCGGTCGCACTTTGTAACCTATCGCAGTATCGCATTTCAGTCATTTCTTTCTCAAGAGGCAGTTTATGTTGGAACATTGTTTTTGTATGCCCTCTCATAATAACTATAGCAATTTGCAAGCCAACACGCCACTTGCATGACGAGAGATTATTGACATTCTAATAACATTCACCCGTCAACCAATACATTACAGTTGCCAGTGTATCCCTGCATGGCATACTCTACTAAAGTCAGAATTATTATTATTGGTTCTGCAAGCTGAATGTTCAAGTACCTCCTGACAGCGTGGAAGTTGTTTGGACAGCGGGAAATGTTCGCACTTTGTGTTTTCCGTTGTATGGGAGCTTTTAGTGGGTTTCCCATCATGATGACGCACTCTAAAAGAAACCAAAGGGGTGAAAGCTGACTTTTAGTTCGTCCCATTCTACATACGCTCAAGCGTGGTGTTGATCAAGAAAGCGAATGGAAGGTTTTGGAACTTTGAAAGCCCCCGATTTCCATATTTTCGTGTTAAGACTATTTGTCACGCCTACCGCATGTTGGGATTTCTCTGATAGTGTCGCTTTGTGAGGGAGGCATCCCAGGAGATATTTCAAGCATCTGCTTGTCAAGTGTTTTCGGCTTTCAAATTTGAGTTTTATCTCCAGCCTCGCTGCTTTTTCGCGATATTTCCGAAAACCAATCCAGTGATGGCTCACTCAAAAAAGCCTTCAGCTAAAAAACATAGCTCATGGGAGTATAAAAAAGAAGGCATCAGTCTTGTGAAGACTCCTCGAAAACATGTTATTCTCGGCATTCCAATAACTGCTAATGAATCATTTCGCAGAGAACAAGAACTTGATAAATTCACTGAATGCCTGCGAGTTTCCTTGCGCGTCACTCAACAACACTTCATTATCTCGTTCCCACTACTCTGTTTCCTCCCAACTTCCTCTTCCTAGTAGCAATCATCATCGTGATGTGATATTTCTCTTGCAGCGATGCTTCGCTTGCATCATTGAATTTATACACGGGATTCTAAAAACTTTGAGACATGACGCATATTTAATCACAATTTTGGTTGAAAAATGCCTGCTAAATGAAAAATTTCTTGCTATCTTAAGTCGGAAGTTCCTGAGTGAGCGCCGTCGCGACGCGTCTCGACGCGTTTTGTCGCCTTTGAGTCACTGAGAGAAAGTGAGAAAAGAGACACGCAGACATTTGAGAGCGCGACGCCCCAGCTGCATATATAATTTTAGATTTCTTATCCAGTTGTCCATGCAGTGTTTTCCAGCGCACATTTATCTATTAGTCTCAATCTCACCGTTGCTTTTATTTATGCGTCTGGGAAATTTAACGTTCATAATTTCCTCTATGATATCACTTCCTCTATACATTTTGTTCAGTGGGTATAAGAGCTAATCCCGGCACCTTTTTTGATCCTAATGTACTGGACAAAACGAAGCATTTCCATCACTGCATCTATCTGAAATTAATACTTGAGACGTCGACTGCATGCATGCTGCAATGCTATCTGTATAAGTTCGAAATTGGATGCTCGATTAATTCCCAAGCGCTCGACTCGCTAGCGACAACTGATTAATGAGTTCCTCCCCAGCGACGACACGAAAGCTCATTTGTATGAAAAATCTGTCCAAGGGGATCAGCACTCTGCTTACCCGCCTGATCACTCCTGACGCATTTTGTGGAAACCGCAGTCGATAAGACAGAAAAATTGAGGCGCTTATGCACCACGACTCATAGGCGTCGCTGCCGGACAATTGCTTCATTGGAAGTTATTGTGCTACCACTATGCAAGCTAGCAAGGACAAATATATGTAGCAGATAATTACTGCTCCGTGATATGATTGAAACCATGTTATTAAGCAAGCGCTTGCAGCTTTTGACGATGCAGATTTTGCCACCTGCAGCAGTGCAGTACCGCGAACACATCAAATACACACCGCCACGGCAAACTGCAGACTGAGGTGACAACCGATTACAGCCAGCCCGGTAAGAATAGATGGCGACCACAGTGTTTGCGACAACTCCAGATATCCGCGCGCGGAAGGAAATCTATTTTTTGGCTTCTTGGGTAATTTGATTTGTGCAAAATTCAGTGCGGCTTTCATTCGAACCAAATTTCACTTTCAAAGCATGCTCTTTTGGTCCCTCCTTGATATCAACTGTAATTTTCTTTTGAAATCATGGGATCATATCTATAAGCTAGACTTCCACAGCCTCTCCAGTCTGCCAAGCACATAAAATGAAACGTCCACACCATATGTGTGCAATTACATCCGACGTCCGCAGTTTTGCTGCTGCACTGCAACAATTTTCATGAAACTTGAACATTGAACTGTCTTGTTCTCCTTTACATAAACTTTAAGTGTCATAAATGTGCTCTTAGTTTTTTATTGTAAGGAGTTTCATCATACTGTTATAGTTTCATTGCTTCATGCTTATGGCTTGGTTTACAACGGTATATTCGCTTGAATGCTGCTGTAATGACCAACAGCTGATTGGCAAGGCTGTTTTTAGCTATCATGTGAGATGAACACTATGACCAAGGTTTTCTGCAAAGTAAAGTCGCAAGGTGATCTTCAGAAGTTGTTTTCTTATTTGAAACGCATGGTCTATGAATGAATTTCATCATTATTGGCATCTGTTTTATCTTCGTCCTTTTCTCATTTCTCAAGAAAAGCGTTCCGTTCGTCTTTTTTTGTCGTCATTGTTTACAAAACTGTCATTTATCTCTGCAGTGTTTTGTTTGCAGATTGGAGATGTCGTTGTAAGTATTGCTCCCTCTGTCAACCATCTCGATGGAGGGACCTCCGCTTGTGTCTCGACACTCGATTGACGATGATGACGTGCAGGGTAAGCAAAATTTTGTTAGATGTCCGTTTATTTTACGAATTTTAACTCCTGTATCATCATAGAATAAATATAGATGGTCGTATGTCTTTTGATAAGTGAAGATGGTAATTATAATTAGTGCTTATATAACCACTGAAATTTTGAATATTCTTGAGTAAGTGTGATTAGAATTCATCATTACAGGTCTAGGCTATGGAGTCGGTGATAGTGGTAGTGGACCATTTTCTGCGGCTTTGCTCGAGCCCAATGTACAAGATGTGATGAGCATGGAGCTGGCCCATCATGATATGGGTGGTGAGTTCTTGACGCTCTTTTTTTTTACAAATCCTGCCCTGTTTTTCGACATGGATTCGATAACAAACGACTTAAAGGCAGTGTCCAGGCAAATCTGAACGTATGGTGTTCTCAAGTGGATAGTAATTTCGGGGCCCTTACTAAGTCACTGCCCAACCGACAGCTCAGATAGTGCTCTAACGGCCGAGATATTTCCCTTGAAACTGGACCCAGGGTCGTATTTCGCATGGATTCTTGGCGCAACGCATGGGTCCTCGTGCGAAACTGATGGTTTGCGCCAAGAAGCCATGCGAAACACGATCCCGGGGTCCAATTTCGAAGGGGAATATCTCAGCCGTTAGAGCACTACCTGAGCTACCGGTGGGGCAGTGCTTAGGGCCCAAAAATTACTTTCCACGTAAATCCAAAAATTAGGGCCCAAAAATTACTTTCCACGTAAAATCCCCAAAGACCCAGATTTACCTGGACGCTGCCTTTAATGCATGTCTCTGCTGAATTACATCCATTGCAGGATATCTGGATCCGAGAAGCTTTGGCGGAGGTGCCCTTGGATTCGATGACTACAACAGTAAGTATACTCCCGTGTTTTTGTGGTCCTTCCATTTCGGTCTTAATTTCAGCTTCATCCTCTCTGTACGACGTGAATACCTCGTTTGGTGATGACATTACAACTGACCAGAAAGAGCTGTTCAGTAATGAAGCAGTTGCCTTCACACAAGGTAAATTGACTGTGATAGCATTTCTTGGGCGGATCTTTATTTTCTCATAGTAGTACAATATCTGAGGAAAACACGCTTCCTTTTATTTTAGTAAGCGAACAATAATAACATCGGGTCAAACCTGAAATACTTATTTCTTGGTTGTTCTATAAATACTCAAATCTTCGTGGTAGATTTATTATTTTCAGTCAATCCTAGCTCCCAGGCCAAACCAGTAAGAACCGAACATAATGCATCTGTGATTCCTAACAATAAATACGAAAACGTTCTAAGGTAAGACAGTTACTACTGCATATCACTATGCCATAGCATAATCAAATAGAGATGATTTTTTTCAGGTATGATCAAACTAGAAATGTTCCTACTTATCCGGTGAAAACAGCGGATCCATCTACATGCACACAATATGCTCCAGTGAGAACACTAATTAAGTAGGTGATGCAGTAAACTTGCGCATTTCACATAATGTCCTCCTATAGTCTAGGGAATCATAGTTTCATTGTTCTCTCAGCATACTGCGCACATTTCTAGTTCCTCCATCAAATCCCATGGAAGTTCATCTAGTCGACGTACCTCGTCGCGTAGTGCGCAGAAAAAGGAAGCGATAGATCCGAAGAGAGTCGAAGATGAAGTCGCTAGGTAGGTATTGCGCCATTCTTCTCATCCAAAATTGGTTTACAAGTCTACAACCATGTCAGTACAAAGCATCCTTCTGAATTTAGGTTCATAAAAATTACCTATAGGTAATTTCTATGAACCATCTGAATAGTTACATTTTTTCTTCAAAATTCTGGTTCCTATTATCTAATGCTTGTCTTTATCTTCGCAGAAACTGACTGTTTTAATCATCTTTTGACCGTGTCTTTTTAGGAACGTGTCTCAAATTCTATCGGCAACAAAACAACAGCGTCTTGCAATGGAAGCCCAACAAAGAAATGGAACAGCTGCACCGCAACCCCCACGTATAGCTTATGCGTGTCCAGATTGTCACAAGACTGTCACCAGCGCTAGAAATTTGCAGGTGAATATACTTCTTTCACGTTTTTTTTTCTTGTGTTCAAATCTGTCAGTGTCAGCGTCATCGTCAAACTTGCACCGCTAGAGTAAACGGTGGTAATGGTACGGGAATGCCTTCGTCCTCCTCAGTATCCTCGTCATCTGTTGGAATATGTCCAACTTCTACCTCAGTCATGATATCGCCAACATCGTCTTATTCAAATCTCTCATATAATAATTACAACATGGTCAGTTTGAGTGCTTTTTCTTACACTTGCGAATAATTGTGTTATCTCTATAGTCTGGCGAGGATCATCAGTATGCAGATTGGTCTAGAAGTAATAGTTATTCCGCTCCACAGTCGGTCTCCAGCCAGCATGAACGATCCATAAACGAGCCGGCCGATCAGCTCGGTACTTTGGACCCTAATAGGTGACTTCTGTTTATGTTCGCAAATAGACTGTTATCTGGTTTTTGGTCATCATGGGCGCGCCACATCACAATACCGATCATCGACTTGTCTTCATACTATCTTGTAATTCGCGTGATCTGTCGTTATCTCTTAGGCGAAGCTGCGTATTGATTAGCAGATGTTCGCCAAATGTCGCCTTATTTTTTTTGTGATTCTATAATTCTCTAGGTCCGGAAGTACTTTAATTCTTTTCTCCTAGCTGAACAGCATACGGTTTACACTTTTCTCTCCCGTGCATCGATTTTTTAAAATAGCGTCCAGCAAAATATCCTTTCTGTAAACGCAGATCTGGATGCACTCTCATTAATACCCTCACTGTTTTTTGAGTGCAACTTGGAACTTAATGATATTGAATGTAGATATTAAATATTCTGCCGGATAGTAGGGCTTAAGATAGCTGTTTCTGCTTGAGAGTGTAAAATATCAGATTTCTAGTATCTCATGTCGTCTGGAAGATGCATGTTTACATCCACTTACTTTGGATATGGACGAACCACGGGCACTCTCAAGCAGCGGATCTACCAGCTCAGCGTCCACGGGAACCCATTCATCTGGGGCTGTCTTTGTGTGAGTCTCGAATAGTTTACAAAACTGGGTACTTTTGTGAGCAGCGAGATTTCTCATTTTAGGTGTGAGTCTTGCAAAAAATCCGTGTCTTCACTGCGCAGCTTGAAACGTCATCATACTACTTGCAAACAATACATAGCAGAAAATGGACCTCCACCGGAGAGCGAGTACGCTACAAACCTATATTACCAATTTTCATTTTATTGTTCGAAAATTAGGAGATCCTTACGCTAATTTCACTTTTTTTGCCGAAATAGGCATTTTGTTCACTTGGTTTGAAACCCCTATTGTATAGTGAATATTGTGCGTTGCCTATGTTGTAGAGTGGTGATTGTTTCCTTTCCAGCCGCTCGTCCTCATCTTATCGCAGCTGCAACAGCGGTAATTCATCCGCTGGTGATTTGCTTATCTTAGCAGAAAATGCCAAAGCTGTGAACTCTTCTGTTTCCCATCAGATTTTCAATTCCACCCAAAGGCCAAACTTGTCCCTACCTCCTCCCCAACCTGCTGTCGTATGTGTGAGGTCGAAGCTCACAGATCAGTTTGAATCGAGCCCAGTCGCCAAAGCCCCTCCTCAGTTACCACTGGTGACTTCGTCGTCATGTCGATGTTCGCTGACCGACTGCAACTGCACTCCGTCGACTTCACCTCAGCAGTCCGTGTCGTGGTGTGTTTTGTTGTGTATATTGGTGAAAATTGTGGTTATTTGTGACTATCAAAACGCTTCTTCGTCATTTTCAAATTATAAAATTCTAATAATTGGCCGTTTCCCGTGAAAGTTTTAGCTCAAGGTTAGTATCGTTTTCGGATCAGAACGGGCTTATAGGGGCTGCCATAATCATTTTAATCCGTTATAAGTCTCAAAAGTTTCTAAGCAGATCTTTGATGAGCGGGTAGTATCCACAATCATGATATGTAGAGTTTGCTCATTACACAGTCGAATTTGAAAATGCAAACTTGTGAAGGTAGGATGTCCCGTTTGTTAATCTGAACTCTTGTCTGCTCGTTGTGCATGTTAGGAATAGTTTTGGAAGACACTTTGGATATTGTCAGACTTGGGTTTGCTGGTTTTTCATCAAATACAATTTTGAGATGTGGTGGGGATTGAAAAATTTCCTTTGCAGCAAAACATAGGAAAACTCGAAGCGCTTACTGTTTTTATCTTGATAGAATCGCTCTAATAGAGTGACGTAGACGGACTTCAGGCTTGTAGACTATCTGAGATGACAGTAGCTAATATAGATGCTACAAAATCCACGTCAGAAGTTTGATAGGTTTTTTGAGAAACTTTTATTTAGTGCACCGAAACAAGCTGCTAACAACAACACATGCGAGGACTGCAATCGTCAACTGTGTTCAGCTAGTAATCTCAAACGTCATCGGGCTACGTGCAAGATAGTGATGCAAAAGTACATCTTACAGCTCTTACAGCCAGTTATTGACTTTAACGTATGTATATCTGCTTTTTTAGGCAGTACTCAAGAAATGGGGGTGTTGTTTCACCAGTCTCGAAGCCAGTCCAACAGCAGGTATTGAGTTCTTTTCAAAGTTTTCTGTTTTTTGACAAGTTTTTTTGCAGAAGTGGCAACCAGTTGAAATAGCCGCTCGAGAGCGAATGATCATCGATCGTTCTTATGCAGCTGCTTTAGCGGCAAGTCAAGAAGCTCGACAGCATATGCCACAACAACAGTCCCAAATGATTACTCGAGCGGGTGGAGATAACACGGGGTCTTTTGTGATCGTCCAGGATCAGGGTGTTGTTGGAGAAAGGCCATGGGTATGCTAACAGGCAACTCTCAGTGTCTCTAGAGGCTAATCAATGTAATCATTGAAGATCACTGTTGGAGAACATCTTCGTGCCCAGCATATGCAGCAGAAAGTGCTCGAAGCTCAAAATCTGCAGAATCAGAACTCTCAGCCTTTGGGATCGGGCTCCACAACGCAGTCGCTAGATAGCATTACTCCGCCGGACTCTGCCAAAGTTCTTTTGAACAACAATAACAATGAAACGGTATGATATGACTTCCCCACTTTTATATCACGCTGTATCCCTTTACATTACTTCACTGGCACTTTTTAGCTGCCAGAAGAACAGAAAAGTGAAGAATTCGAGAGTATAGATTCCGAGAACGATACCAGTGCACATGAATCAGCGAGTCAGTATCCATCTGAACGGAAACCGTCTTTAACGTCATATAAATGCAATGTAATATCACGTCTACCTATGTCTCAATCAACTCCAGTAATGCGTTGCTCGTCAACGGTAGAACAAAAACCAATTTACGAGTAAGTCACATGATTTGTTTTTGTTCTTTGTCAGGAGTTGAACCATATAGAGTTTGCAGTGTGAAAACGACAGGACCACAAGCAGGAACACAAAACTCGGGAAATACTATCACTCCGTTGGAAAGTATTATTACCACGCAGCCATTGCCGAGGTATGCAGCTTTTGCCGAGGTTTTTTCTTTGTTTCAGTTCGTCAATTCTTGGAAAAGTTCGTTCCTCCATATCCATAGGTGGACGGACTACCTAGATCATCACAAAAAAGGGGCGAAGGCACTTTGGCAGAAATTTTTGGAATGTTTTCGAAGAAGTGGATCGGACTTTTGAAACAGACTACGAAATCACTGATGGTCCAGTCGTGCGCTGCTGGTCCTTTTATCCCTTTTGAGTTCAAATTAGATTACTCAATATTGGCTGCAGCTACGTAAGGGGCAAACAATCTATTAAATTATGAGAGTCGTATATCTCGCTTGATGTGCAGTCACAACAATAATCTCACTAGAAAGTTGATAATTGTCTTTACTTCTAATTTCAGTGAACGTGCTGACACTTTTGACGGCTCGAGAAATACCGGAGAACGGCGAAGCTCAGATTCTATACAAACAACTATCCCAACAGTCGGTGCCAGCTCTCTTCTCATGCCAACTCGTCAAGCTGCTCCACTTTCGTCCGAGTTTCAATGTCCAGAATGCTTGAAAACGTAAGTGAATTGGATTTACTTTTTATTGCTAATCGCGGGACTTTAGTTATTCCTGTCGCAAGAATGTCAAACGTCATCGCATGGCTGTACATAAACTGTCAGCTGAGGAAGTATCAAGACCGATGAGCGCTTCGCATTCGATGAGCAACAGCAATGATTCGACGTCGTACAGTCAACTGAGTCAGCCTTTGCCAAATAGGATGACAATGGCAAGAAGCGAGTACAAAACTGAAGGGCATATGATGAGCTCTCCTCAGCAGCTAATCCAACAAAATCGATATCAGGATCGGGTAAACGATGCTTTCCTTTGTTTTTTGAATTTGTCAGTTTCGAAAACATCTTCCAGGTGGACAACCCTTGGGGCAATCAGCACGAAATGCAGCATCAGCATGTGCAAGGCAGCTGGTCGAGAAGTAGAGAATACGTGGACGATGAGGAAAGTGCCGAGACGGCGAGAATTGCTGCAGAACTGAAGCGAAGTGCTGAGCAGGAGGTTGTGCATGAGTTCATTTTTCTGTCTCGTTCTGAGTTCAAATTTTTTTGAAGATGGCTGAAATCGAAGGAAAGAAACCCCGCACTGAGCTTGCCGAAGCCGACACGACGTTCCATGAAGAAACAGAACAAAGGTCTGTAGTGATTACACTTAGATTATCCAGGATTTTCATTTGAGTTTACAGTAGCGCTCATCCTTCGGATGGTAACCGCATGCAGGCCGCGGATGGTTCAGTGAATAGCGTGAATGCGTCAGCGCATTCTACAATGAATACATGGATGGAACAGAAACGTATGCTAATCCTTTTGATTGCATCTTGACAGGCTCTCTCTCTAGGCTTATTATGTCTTATTGTTAGCAAATTTCACCCAAACTTAGAGGATATCACTTTAGGCTATGAAATACTGTTTCACTTCTTCGCAGTTTTTGAGCATTGAATTTATTTTGCCGTCTACTGGGCATCATTCAGAAGTCGAATCTGAATGAGCAGCTTATGCCTTCTTGCTTTGACACATCTACCCGTTAGTCGATCTCACACATTCCAACTGCTTTTTTCCAGCTCTGGCAATGGAAGCTGCCCATGCAACTAGGTCATCGTCGACAACAGCCGCTGTAGTACAGGGGAATCAGACATCAACGCGTGTCAACAAGAGACCACCGCATGTCTGCGTGGATTGTAATCGGTAATATCAATTTTGGGTCATCCTTTGTGCCATTGATAAGGCTTTTTTGGAAGGAAAATTGCTGCTTTTAGGATATTTTTGTCAGTCACGTTCAGGGTTTGATTGAAAGTATGTCCATTCTATTTCAGTGTCTTGTCATCTGACTATTCACTTCGTCGTCATCGTCTGACATGCATTGAAGCTCGCAACAATGGTACAGCGCAATCAGCAGGTCAATCGGGAACGACTTCAACTAACTCATCATCCGTGGGAGGGGAAGAATCGTCACATTTGCAAGATGTGATGCTGGGGAGTGCTTACATTGGAAATGATCGCAGTAGTGTATGTTTTTCCTTTGTGATAACCACCAGATCCATAGAAGTACTAATTTAGGACTCAATGAGTCTGTCTGATCCAATGCTGAGCCATGTGGCGTTATCAACACCACTGCATCCGCAGAGTGTGCAGTTCAGCCGATCCACATCTTTGAGTGGGTCTGGCTCTTCTGCAGTTGATGAATGGTACGAGCGTCATTCTCTGCGCAAAACCGATGACGTGCCGGATTCGACGACTAGCCAGAGGTAAAAATTTCATTGGTTTTTAAATCTTGCGCTGGAATATTGAAGAGCATTGCAGACTTGATCGCTCAACATCTCCCGGCTTGCTTTCTACGTCGTCTGAGGGGGCGCAACCTGGAACACTTCAGTATACCAGAAAACGCGCAAATTCTGGTGGAACGAATGCGCAAAATGAGGGTGGTCCCTCACGTCCGCAGCACAAACATCTTTGCCAGGTGCGTAACTACACACGTCTTTTATTTTCATTCACAACATCTTGGCTATTTATCTGTCTTTTGGATAAAGGGTATCATGGAAATGATAGCATATTCCCCGTCTTTATGAATTTTAATCATGGCTTTATGATAGAGAGGCTCAAGCACTATGTTTTCGTCTTGTAGTGCTTTAACTGTTGTGCCCCTTGAATTTGTGCATCTTTAGTTCCAGAGTCCAACTGTCTGCCTATCTATCGCATTGTTTACATTGAATGGTAGTGCACTTTTTCTTGCCATCGTGGTGTATGGAGATGAAATGAAATTGTGGTAAAATCACAAGCTTGAGCTTATGCACGGACCATCTCGCTGACTTTAATCATCTGGAGTCTTCTAATATTTTGTGAACTGTGATTGTGGTGGTGGTGGCATGATTTGTGAAGATTGTGGTTTAGTTAGATCGATGCGAGGAGTTCGCGCTTACCGACGCAGATGCAGTTGCGGATTGGGACTCTGGCCGAGTAGCTCATGTTATAACGCAAGGAATTTGAGCTCCAGCTTCTATTAGTGCAACTGTATGACCTCAGTTTACCATAGCATGTGCACTGCCTCAATTTGCAATCAGTCATTTCATAGACCTCAACTAATAAGCTGATGATTTTTTTTCTGAAGTGCTGAACTCATGTCTAATGGTTTTGTATGGACTATACCTCTGCACCTCAGCTTTTCTCTCTCTTGTTTTAATCGAAATGTGTCGCATATATTTCGCACTGTGCATGGCTGCTGTTAGAGCTATGTTCAATGTACTCACTCTAAGCGCGCAAGGCGCCGTAGTATACTGCCTACTAAAAGCTATAAAAAGGTTTTTAATTCTCGATGAATTCGTCCAAAATAAACTAGGGGTTGTAATCCTGTGAGTTCATTCCTTGTTATCATTGAATTCTCTTGGTCATCAGTTTTCGAGCTTTAGCTTCAGGTTTTTCGTATCTGGTCTCTTCATTTTTTTCGATTGCTTAAAGTACGAGTATGTTGTGAGGAGATAATAAACTCTCAAAAAATTCTTCGGATTTGCTCCATTTGTATGCACAATGTCATTTTGGGATGGTCGATTGTTTTCTCGTCATTGGCCTTCTCAATGGTGTGTCATCGTGGACTTTACCAGCTGATATCTTTCCAGGCATGCGGAAAATTCTATTCTTCCGAGTGGAATTTGGAACGACATCGCCGTGAATCATGTCCGGTGAAAGGAAAAGCTTCACCTGCTCCAAAAGAGCCGTGAGTTTTTAATTGTTTTATATTGAGTTTCCTACCACTCTATTAGCAGAAAGCTGCATGTGTCAGGCTAGCGTTCAAGTAGTTCAACTATCCGTATAAAATTCCTCTTTCAAAATGGGGCATTCACGTAGTTTTTGTGTTAGAAAGATTATGAATTGAGCTACGAACACAGCCATTTCTGTCGAATTTCTGCCATCGCATGTGTTCATGGCAGGATTACAGTGTCGGGAGGGGGGGGGGGGGGAGTTTTTGATTGCTCCGCTTTTTTTGCTGAAACTTGGTGTAAGGGTGAGGGTATTTAGCGCATTGATCACGGAAGTGAAAATTACTAATTCCTCATGAGGAGGCCGTTCTCATGAAAATGAAGTTGAATTTGCGTCTTGGCAACAAATGAGTATGGTGTTCTTGTTGAGCACGTCAACTAATTCCACCGCAAAGTTTCGGAAAACTGCGGTTCCGCTACTTAATTATTAAAAGGTGGGTGGAGAACTACATGTCGCCGAATGTGGAAGAGTCCCGCGCGGATTCCCTGCAGAACGCATGTCCGCGCATGTACAAGGGTGCTTATTTGTCGCAAATGACCGCAGGGGCCGCCCTTTTTCGGCGACATATAGTCCCCTACCCTTAAAAGGTGTCCCTCCAATTTTGGAGGCAGCAACTCTTTCAAGTTCCCGAGTCCTCCATTACTGAGTTTAGTGAGTCATCTTTCATAAAGGAACACTTGCTTACACCTTCGTTTTGATAGGTTTGGTCAGATAGTGCCCGGTTTTTTTTTGCGGAGAATTGTAAAAGCAATCTGAATTGTTTTCGAAAAAAGCGTAGATTTTTTTTTGCGCCAATTAAAGAAAGAAGTTATAAACAGAGTTGCAGATTAAGGTGCCTATCTAATCACCTTTCGCTCACTAATTATCTATTTTAGAGGTTTTTTTTTGCCTTTGGTAGGCGATTCGTGTATTTCGTGACTTCTTTAGTTAAGTCGTATTTTAGGGTGGAAAACGTGGCAAATGATGAAGCAAGCGTTCAAGTTGGACATACACTTTTCCTCCTGTCCAGATCGGCTCTTTCTCGAGCTTCGGCCTATTTTGCTCAGCTTTTCGCCATGCACGATCCAGCCAAGGGTGAACTACGTCTTGAGCTTGATCCAACTCATTTTCAATCGCTTCTCGATGTATACAATAATCCCAATAATTTGAGCCGTGAGTAGTTTTTGTTTTTGTATCTTTCATATAAGCTACGCTTTTTTCAGAGTATAACATTGACGCAGTTGTCGTCTTAGCAAATCGACTAAAATTCAGCACTGTTTTCGACAGTTGTGAACGTTATATCGCGGAACAGGTATAGTTTCTCCCTTTCAAAAGCTTCTGCTTATTTCTGGATTTGTTCGTAGATAATTATGATAATAGTTGTCATTACGACTTCTCTTCTCTGTTGACTGCTGTTATCATGCGAACAATATGATTTGTCACAACTGGAATATTCTAGCTGCCTCAAATCTCAGTGATGCATGCGATTCGTTTGGCTGAGCAGTTGAAGCTCTCTACCATCAAACAGCGATTGTTTGACACTATCTCGATCGATGTGTTCAGGTGAATTTAAGCGAATTTTGTGCATCTGTTTTCTTAGAGTCTGCGATTTGTATATCACCATCACAAACGCCATGTTTTGATCTGAGTCACTTATAACACTTATAACATGTACATTTACAAGGTCTCTTGCATCGGATGAGCAGTACAAGAAGATGGATGCTGAGCTGAAAGCTGAATTGTTGGAAAAGTGGGGCACGTTCCTTTGATTTGTCACTCTTTAGAATTTCGGCTTTACATTTATTGATTCCTGGTCGTTTTTTCTGCATCTTAAATATGTATTGTAATTCTATATAATTTATGCTCCTTTGTAATTTATGCTAAGTGCAGCAATAATTTATACCTTGATACAACGATTCTTTATTTTATGACTCATTCGAGAGCCCTATCATATCGCTTGAGCTAGTGCTATAAACTCGAATATGAGTACGATTACCCAAGGTTTAGCTGATCTCTACCCTTCTGTTCGGGATTGACCTTGTGTGTACGGTGTGCTGTAATGTTCAAGTTCATATATGCAGTGTTTTACACTGTCCACTAATCGAGTGTAGTGAATTTAGGTTTACTGCCAAATGTGTTTGAGCTAAGTTGACAGTGATCTCTAGTTTCACGGTATTACTGTATAAGTTTTGTGTCGCAAGTAAGATTATAATCTTCTTCACTCAGTATTATCTATCCTCATTGAGCATGAGAGCAACCCGGTGAATCCTTCATCGTGCAGTTTGTTCTGGTGGAACACCATTTATACCAACACCCACTATATGTGTAACCTCACCTTTCCTGTCTCGCTGTCTCATGTAATTATCACCTGTACTTGATCTCACTACGCATTTGGAATCTCGGCACTCTCTGGTCTGCCAACTCCGCTGTCCTCATATCATATGTAGACGAATATATGTGATCTTCTATCTAGTTGTTGCTGTTTACAGTTGTTCTTAATTTCCTTCTTGGAAAGATTCTGGAGTTTTGATTTGAAATTGTCGTGATTCGTGTCTCTAGTTGTTACATTATAATAGTAAAATTTCTATATCTGATTATGTCTAATCAGAAAGTTTATATCAAGGCAGTACTGATTAGGTCTAAAAGGTGTGAATGCAGAACTTTTATTAGCGAGGATATATCTTTAGGAAGGTGACTCTGACTAGCAAAACATCACTCCCACTTGAAAACCCATCCAACTATTGGATGTGGGTCATTGGACCAGAAGACGGTAAGCTACGCACATAGTCGACATTCGATGTTTTATGATACAAACTTTAGCCTTCTTGTAGTGCGTCTAGATAAATTTAGTAGTAATTCGCGATATCCCAGAGAAGATAAGCCATGAAGTTTAAAATTTCAGGATATTTTGGGGGATATTGTACCAAAAATAACTTGTTGTAATAGTCGGAGCTGATATTGCGAGTGCGTTTTCAAACACACGGTACAAAATAGGAAAGTTCAGTGCAATATATGCGAGAGGCTCAAGTACTACATTATGCGGAAGGTGTTTCTCCCTTTATTGCGAAATCGACATCACTGTAAAAAGTATCCGGATGTCCCACAAAAATCTGAGAAGAAATGAAGTAAATTTCGGCTACCAGCATGCATATCTATCTCCTACAAGACACAAATCAATTCGTCAATATCGTCAAAACAAGACGTAGAATCAAATGCACTGCTCCGCAGTAGCTCGTACCCCATACTTCACGCCCAATACTTGTCTATTGTCATTTGCTGCCATCGGGAACACTAATTTGCGTGCAGATCTGCCTGAGATCTTAAAAGATTTTTTGGAATGGAGGTCAGTGAATAATGATTGAACCACAAATTGGAATTGACAGCTTGAAGATTGTATAGGTGATTCTTAAAATCGTGAGGACGAGTTTGACTGCGGTCTTTGCGAACATGGGAGCATAAATCATCCATACAAACGGGCATACCTCAGAGCTCAGCTTGGTCACGTTCAGTGCCTGAGTACTATCATATGTTAGCAGAAAAACCATTGTAGAGACAGAACTTAAGAAAATGCGGTTGCTGGAAGTGCGTGTGTGTCTCGCGCGGTCGCGCCATCGTCATGATTTTTTAAATGCCCTACACCAAGACCATGCCAAATCGTAAATCTCCGTTGGCATTAGATGAAATTCCGCCAAAGAATTTGGTTTCTGATATGTTTAGAAATGGAATTTTATGGCTGTTTGGGAAAAATAACGATCAGTATTAGAAAGAGTAACTTCAAGAACATCTGAAAGCCATTCTGTCATTGTTGCTTCAAAGATTTCGAAAATCTTTGAATCAAAGAGATATCCGTTGATTTCACTTTTCATAGGTTTCAATAATAAGACAGGTTACAACTTGAAAAAAGTTATGAACATTTTTCCTTGAAGTGGAGCAGCGTTGATTATCACACAATTCACTTTTTTCAATTCTGTCAAAGGATGCGCCTGAGATGAAGTCCCAGAAGAAAGGGGATGGGGAGGAAGAATTGCACATGGATGGCCCGAAACAATCGAACTAATTTTTTGTGTAATTTTCTAACAAAATACCATCAGTCCATTGACGGTGCCAGGCTATCTTATCCTGAAATTGTGGAAAGTGTAGCTCCACTTACTCCAGTAATTTTTCACATGGTTATTTCAATTTCGTATGAATCCGGAAGTTACAATACCACCCGTAATTTGTGAAAAAAAATGGCGGCGGCACTTAACTTACGCGGCGCCGCCGAAGTTAGGTGACTTTTGCCGCTTTTCCGCCGACTTTTGTCGCGCGACGCGGCAAAAGTCACCTAACTTCGGCGGCGCCGCGTAAGTTAAGTGCCGCCGCCATTTTTTTTCACAAATTACGGGTGGTATTGTATCTGGCTTTTTATGAGTAACCCCTTCCCCTCAATCGGCCACTGCATCATAAATATCCCATCATTATCACGCGCGAAGAGTATTCGTGTTTGATTATGCCCCCTCCCCTCTCCCCCAAGTTTGGAGCGAAAATCTCATCAACCGATTTGTTATGTTTCTACAAATTTTGAAGCCTGGTCTTGGGTTGGGCACACTCAGGAGGTGACTGAGAGAAGTTACAGACTCTATCTTAGACAATGCAAACGGTGGACTAGGTTCAAAATAATGTAAAAGACTTTTGTTTTCATTCCAGACAGACTGATATGCATAGTTCTCGTGTCTGTCACAATACTGCTGGCTACTGCAGTCTTCTTCATCACTCGACATCTACTTAAGTCTCATTCAAGGTACGCTGCATTGTATTTGAACACTAATTCTTGCATCGGTCTCTTTACAGATTTCTTGAAGACACAGGTGAACAGCCATGCTTATCTGACCACTGATACTTATTGCCTTCTATGTTCTTACTTGCCATGAAATGCATTAACAATGTGATAATCACGAAAATGTATTTACTTGATAAATGATAACAATGGAACAAATGGAACAATGTATATCGCAAAATATAATGATGTTGGGGATGAATGATTGCAGAAAATGTCCTTACAGTAGCAGTGCGTTTCTGTCTGAAATATGCAGAAGAAATTTGTTGAAAAGAGACATTTTTTGTGTCTAGAATCTTTTCTGAATTGCTCCAGTGTGGTATTCATTGAAATGCTTGCCTCAAAAAGACACATAGAAAGAATATAACCTCATTAACTTAGTATTTTTGATGCTGATAACATAGTATTCTTGCATTGCCAACAATTGCGAGTAATGCCTAGTAATGTGCACTTTGGGGCCATTTTGACCCACAAGTCGCTAAGTTGTCGGCATTCTCAGCCATGAAATTTTACGCGCAAATGTTGTCATCACTGCTGGAACACCATACCGCCAGATTTATTAGACTTTACCTTGTTGTAGTCCTTGAATGTTTTTGGTTCAATCTCGTAACACTGAATATCCGGCACCTCTCCATTGTCTTCACGAACATCAGCGCATCCCTAAGAGTGATATGGGAGCCTTATCATAGTGACCAGAATAAAGCTTGTTCTACCTTTGTGTAAGTCTCCCAGGCAAGATTCTGCTGTCCAAGTCTGGCAATGTATTTGACTGAAACGGATTGGCATGGCGCAAGACAATCTAAGCCGTTTGAAAATCATAGCCATTTTTTGTAAACTGATTTTTTTTTGTTTTTTACAGGGTGTATTGGATGTTTTAAACAGTGACTAAGTTACCCATTCTGGTATTTTCTCGTTGATAACAGGTTTTCTTCAGTGTGTTAGGCTATATAGAATTTCCTATTCGCTCAAATTATCCTGAATTTCAAAGCGAGTTTTTTAGAGTCTTGAAGGCACCGTCTACCCCAAGTTAGGGGGGGGGGGGGAGAGACAGTCAAGAGACGCGATTTTTCCGGCTGTCACCAGCTTGAAACTCCAATTTCGTGCTATGGGAGTGTTCAAAAAATGCCGGGCAACGCCCATTGGCTCCAGCTGGCAATAAAAATCGCCTCTAGACATACACCCAGTTAGGAGTCTTGGACTTTTGGCAGCTTACGATAGTAGGACTCCCCATCAAGCCAGTATCAAAGTCGCGACGCAAAATGCCGCTTCGGAAGCGAGAAAATTGCTTCGAAATAGCGAAGAGGCGTTGGTCCTCATGCCGGCACCGCCCTCCTCCGGTAATGCCCGCCCATCCCTGTACGCCCTCCAATCACCGTTCTGGAGAAGGCCTGCGGGTTTTCCGGAAAGGGAATTGTCGGAATTTTCGCGGATTTTCGACTTCTGCTCTCTAACATTCATATTCGGAATTAGGGACTTGAAAAGGCTCCGAAACGACGAAAGCATGGAAGTCAAGAATTTGAGTGGACGAAGGTGGACGAAGCTTTTGAATGCAAAAAAATCTGAACGCCTCGTATTACATGCTCTGTAACATTCTTCACCGTTTTAGTATCAAGTGGAGTTTGAGTGGTGGTGAGTGTTGTGAAAGTAAAGAAACGTTTTGTAGTAGGAAGTGGTTCGATATTCTGAGATTTTACACAAACTATCTTATCTTATGGAATTTTCTAGGTGGAAAGAGTTCCGTACTGAAATTTCTCACTGGAAGTGCTTGATGAGGATGGGAGGGCAAGGGCTTGCGAAAGTTGGAAAGCAATAAGTTATGCTGTAGTTGATCAGTTTGAATATTATGACTCGTTTACAAGAAAATCAAAAGCTTTTGGCTAGATATTAGGTCGGTGCAAAAGTTTTGTCAGTTTTTTCAGTCCATCGGCAAACACGCTAGAAAGAAGATAAACAAACATTTCGGAATGTATCCAATGCAGAATTTCTTCCTCTTTCCACTTGCTAAACTGCCATTGTGTTTCGTTGCAAGATTGACGAGATACTTGCGGGAAAATACAATCACTCGTTTTTACCATGTCCAAATTTCACTAATTTTTAAAATTTTTGTATTAGACTTTCGGAGGAGCCTTAATAAGCATCAGATAGGGGAAACCTTTTACCAACTTATGCAATTTTTTGTAGCCCTACGGCTTGTTCAGAATTTTTACGATTTATTTTTTGAAGTGACCAAATTTTACATTTAGCCTATTTTAACCTCGTAGAACCTAAAATGTTAAACACTTCAGTCACCACTAATTCAACTTTCTCTCCTCCTTCTAACACTTGTCTTTTTTTGCCGAGACAGGCGAAATTTGTAGGCGAAAATCGCAGTATTTCTCAATTTCAGGAATGCACACTGCCGTAACCTATGTTTCAGAATCTTCTTAATTTGAAGCGAAAATCGCTCATGTACTTTGTAATGGTAGCGGTAGTAACAATCGAGTGTTGAAACTTAGTATTCTGTAGGTTTTGCAGTGTTTGGGTGCAAAAACAGGTTTTGCGATTTTTCCAAAACACAAGACTTTTAGAAAATTATTTAGCAAAAATCTGAAAAAGCAGCTGAGAAAAAGAAAAAAATTGCATAAGTTGGCAAAAGGTTTGCCCTATCTGGTGGCTATTAGGGCTCCTCCGAAAGTCTCATATAAAAATTTTGAAAATTAGTGAAGTTTGGACATGGTAAAAACGAGTGGTTGTAATTTCCAGCAAATATCTCGTCACTCTCTCAACGAAACGCAATGTGAGCTTACATCTGGAAAGTGGAAGATATTCTGCATCGGAAACATTTTAAAGTGTTCGATTATCTTCATTCTAGCGTGTTTGCTGATAGATTGAAAAAACTGACAAAACTTTTGCACCAACCTAATAGTTCTACATAATTGAAGCGGTCAAGCCTAGAGTATGGCACAGTCAGACCTCACACTTCACTCTGACAATTTCCAAGTGGGTAGAAAACTTCCATAACCCACTGATTTTCTTGGTGCAGTACGCTCCTTCGGTGCACATGCTAGAGGCATCATTTGCTTCACAATCGCCCATAACCTGAGTTGTGTCCGACAGATTCAACGAAGCAATTTTGTCAGCTACATCCTTCGGAACCATAGTTGCGCCTTTGCATTCGTGACACTTCATCGCAGTCACTGAATTATCTCAATTTAAAGCGAGTAAAATGAAATTTGTAGTCTGAGTCAAAATTACCTGGATACAAATTCGTCAGAAACACTACGAAAAGAGCGAGAGCCATAGTACTCGACGAGTTGCGGAAGCTTTTAGAACAAAGAATTGTCAAGAGAATTGTATGAATATCTTATGGTTAGCACCATGGAAACCTGAAAACATTTAACTTTACTTTTCAAATTCCACAAAACCTTCAGATTTTTGTGTCAATCCCGTGAATAAGAGATACGAGCAGCCGATTAGAGAATGAGATCTGGTTGCTCGGAAGGCCTGATTGCACGTATTCATCTGTAGTGTCCTTAGTGAAGTGAATGGCTCCATGGGGTGCCGAGAGAGAGCAGGTGTTCGTATTAGTTAAGAAATAATGCCATACGGACATGAATTTTTGGTGAAGTCAATATGGCGGAAGTAACGGGTGTATCCATTAGGACAATTGAAAAACGGTCAATTTTGCACATGTGTAGGTGAGGAAGAGCATAGTTTCATCTGCGGATGAGATCCTCTAGATACTTTTTTTAGAGCAATAATAAACAAACTAGTTTGGAATGACGTCAAGCTGAGAGCATCATACTCGCTATCGCTGAAGAAGTGCCAATTAGGAGGTGGGAGTGCAAATTGTGATAGGTTAGTTGAATTTTTTTCACTACTGCTTTTTACCTAATCCTAGTTGCTCAAGTGGCAGAATTTCAAAAAAAAAAATCCTGACACGTAGGAAAGCAAAACTCCTTGCGTTCGAACGAACCTAGTGAATTATACACAATTCATTTATGCTTCAGTTCATCCTTTTATGCCCTTCTTCCATCCATTTGTGTCAGATTATTATTCTTACAAGAACGATCCCAACTTAAGGTGGCGAATTGGAATGAACCGCATATCATTTGATGCGTCTTGTGAGCTGATTCCAAATCTACCTTCCATATCTGTGATGCCGTTATTTGCAAAAAGTTATGAGCGGTTGAGAATGTGAAGTTATTGGGGTTTCAATGCATAATGTGCTTCAGAATCCAACTTGGGAGTGTGTGACTAGCATAATATTGAGTGTACTGATTTCAAGGAATGCTCACATTCTAAAGAAACACAAGTAAGTGTTTTTGAACAATTTTCGAGGTATGGCGCTGTATATTTGCCAAGTTTGGACTTTTCATTGCTCATAGCTTTTACCAAAGAACTTTAGTTGCTTTTCAGCTGTTCAACTTATTTGCGTTTCTTTTGAATGTGAGCGTTTCGTGAAATAGTACACTCAATATCATGCTAGTCGTGCACTTCCAAGTTGGATTCTAAAGCAAATTACGCATCAAAACCTCAATTATTAGGTTGTTGCAAAAATAATGTCCGTTTTTCTAGGCGTATATTCCGAACGACTTTTCTCCTTCAGGCTTTCTTTTTCGATATAGATTCTGCACATCATTGGAAAGCTTTCTTCATGTACTTTCTAACGGTTGTAAAGTTGCGCTTTTATCTCATCTGTAAGATTTTCACCAGCATTTTGCACAGCCGCGCTCAAAATCGAAATTTCATTGCTCCAACTTTCTTGGCCACAACTCAGGCGCAAATAAAGGAATTCTTCTGAAAACATAGCTACTGTATATGATAAATATTGTTTACTTATTGCATGTATAAGTAAGTTTTTCGAATATACCTGAACTGACAAATCGAGATTCAAGAAAGACACTCTCTGCCTAGAACTCTATGGGTTCGAAATTTTTCCTGATTAAGGCAATCGCTGAAACTTCGCTCATTTCTGGAGGCTTAAAGTCAGGACATCTTATCTACAATTCATACAGAAAAACTTAGCTATTCAGTGCATGAAGAACTCCAAGTTTTCATAATTTGGGACTTCCAAGCCTATCACAAATAGGCTTGAAAAAGTGAACAATTTTGGATTTCTATCTTTTCTATTTCGCAGAACTTCTTGGCTAAAGTTCTTTTTATACAAGCGTATACTACTGGGTTGCGTCTACAAAATAAGCTGATTAGCGGCCATAACAACAAAACTTGAAAGAATTTGTAATCTTTCAAAAACGAGGTTTTCAAAAGCAAAACTTTTGGTTTTCTGACGCATGGTTTTCTTGCTGTTTGCTATATCAGTATATGCAGGTGCGCCTTAGATTAGGAAAGGTTTACTGCATCTGATGGTCTTGGTTGCATTCAAAAATATGAAAACTGAACGAAGTTATAGCTTTTCAAAGTGAAATTTTGCAAAACGGACATTATTTTTGCAACAACCTAATACTTCACATTTTTAATCTTTCATATCTTTTTCCAAATAACGGCATCGCAGATATGGAAGGTAGATTAGAATCAGCTCACAAGACGCATCTAATGTTATGCAACTCATTCCAACTCGCCACCTTATGTTGAGATCGTTCCCTTGTTAGAACAATCAGAGCCTCATACGCGCTCATGCTCATGTTTTACAAGTCACTCATTCCGTTTTGTTCTTGCTTATATCATTTTGCCAATCTCGGAGGTAAGACTGTAAGACATAGCACTTTTACAGTAAACATCAATCAGGAAATGCCTTCTCTATGGAAAGATTTTTCGCTGACTACTTGATCTGGAATAGTTTATTTTATAATTTTAACGGAGTAAAATTCAGTGATTGGCAAAAATTTTTGAAAAATGTCAGTAGCGATTGAAAAGCGTGTGTGTGAAGAAAATGTAAATATCTTCAAGAAAAAAAAAGGCTTCATTCTGGCTACTGCTCGTAATGAAATGAAATGAATGGTCGAACACGCGTGCACTTTGAGATTTCGGTTAAAGCTGCAGAACCGGAGAAACACCTAAAGAAACCTATTTTCTTTGATTTCCTATGGGGATTGGGTTACTAAAAGGACTGGAAAGATGCTGGATTTGTCACGACGAGAGGAAAAGGAGAAATTATTTTAAAATCAGAAGATTTCTCTCTATAGAATTCGTTCAAAAGTACTTCTACTGCTCTTAGGTACATATAATGCAACGCATTTTTAGATCTAATTGTAAGTCAAATTTAAATTCGCTTCCGCGGCTGGTAAAAGTGCAGTTTTTTTTAACCTGGTAAATTATTGCCCGCTCAATGAGAAAATTGTACGGATGCTCGATGGTAAAACAAAATTCGGTAGAAAGGTTGAAGGTGGATGCGGTTGTATTAGGTTGTTGCAAAAATAATGTCCGTATTGCAAAGTTTTACTTTGAAAGGCTATAACATTGTCCAGTCTTCGCGTTTTTAAATGGAACCAAGAACATCAGAAGTAGTAACCTTTCATAACCTAAAGCGCACCTGCATATACTGAAACCGCAAATGGGAAGAAAACCATGCGTCAAAAACCAAAATTTTTTTTTTGAAAACCTTGTCTTTTGGCTGCTAATCAGCTTATTTAGGCAATCCAGCCGTATACGTTCGTATAAAAGAAATTTTAACGAAGTGTGCGAAAAGAAGAGATAGATCAAAACTGTTCACTTTTTTGAGCCTATTTGTGGTAGGCCAGAAGGCCCCAAACTATGAAAATTTGGAATTCTTCATGCACTGAATAGCTAAAGTTTTTCTGCAAAAATTAGATGTCCTGACCTCGAGATAACAGAAATGAGCGAAGCTTCGGCTGCCTCAATCAGGAAAATTTTAACCCATTGAGTGTTATGCAGCGCGAGTATCTATTTTGAGGCGTCGATTTTCCCCAGGTATATTCGAAAAATCTGTCCATCTCATACGGTAGCCATCTTTTCATAGCAGTTCGTTTAGTTACGCCTGAATTGTGGCCAAGGAAGTGAAAGCAACGGATTCTCGATTTTGAGTGCAGCTGTGCGAGATGCTGGTGAAATTCTCACGGATAATATAGAAGATTAATTTTAAGACTGCTGGAAAGTATTAGGTTGGCACATAAGTTTTGCAACTTTTCCCGCAACTTTTTTCCTATTTTATGTAGCAATCTCATTTTGTGGGATCGTGTAGATCGTGATGTAAGCTGCAAGTCTGCGCAAACCGTTTGATTTTTGATAATGTAGTACAAAAAATTTAAGCATTTTTTGAAAACTGCTGAAAATCGAGGTTTCACGATTTTTTGGCAAACATGAAGCCCTACGAAACCTGATTCAAACATATGAAAAGGCAATTTTAGGCAGCATGTAGCTGAAAGTTGGCACATTGGAATCAGTGTCAAAGAAATGAAATTTAAACACAAATTAAGGTGGGGCGCCTTTGGGAAGTTAAACAAGTCAAATGCGTCAAGTTTTGAAGGCAATTTGTCAATAACTAAGCTGCGAAAATACAGAATTCGCTATAACTTTGCACTATAGGGTAATCCTATGCGGTGAACACGAATATCACATTCATTTGTCGCTAAAATCAAATTCATTTTCTGATCTCACGAACGAGGCCTTTTCATGCGAAACGGATCTCATTTTTGTGATCAGCATGTCGAATAAGCCCTATAGGTCAAGTTTCGGCAAAATCTGATGCATTCTAAAATTTTTCCCATAGTACCGTAAACCTACCGTAATCCTCACATAAGATGGTAAAATTCGGCAAAAATGTGTGCATTAGAAGCTTACATCATATTCCTTATATTGCCAAAAAATGAATGCGCTACGTTCAAATAGACAAAAGTTATATAAAAAGTTGCATTACTTATGTGCCAACCTAATACATGAAGAAAGCTTTCCAATAATATGCAGAATCTATATTTAAAAAGAAATTTTGAAGAAAAAAAAGTTGTTCGAAAAGTAGGCCTAAAAAAACGAGCATTATTTTTGCATCTGCCTAATTTGAGTACATCTGCACAAACTCTTGGATCCGTGGCATCAAAATAGTATAGACAAAAAGGACTCATGTAATTGTCCAATTGTACTTCAATCTGCTTTTTTGCATGACTCCACGTATGCATGAGTATCTAAGAACAAAGCTAAAGCATTTACTGCCCGACTAAAAACTTACAATCCAACTTTGATTTGATCGAGTTATCAGCTAATTTGGGCTATGGGGCGGGTAATTTAGTAACCGTAGTAAGAAGTAACTTGTCTCTCTGCCTGTAACCACCCTTTTAAGACGCCGAAAAAACCGCTTTATAAAAATTTATCGAGACTGGCAAATAG